CGTATCTTATATGCATGTACAAACGTGTAACTCGCATGCGGGCTTGTACTGTTGCTTATCGTACTCATACGAAAGTAAAAATTTATTTTAATCGAGGTGTACTTTAGAATCATTTTTCATAAGTCAGAAAAAGATCAAAGATAAAAGAATGAACAAAAAAAAAAAATAATAAAGAAAGGATAATAATTAGGATGACGGGGTAGAAATAAAAGTAGGGCACACATCGGGTGTCGTAACGGTCCTCGGCAATATCTAAAACCCTCCCTTCGAACGTTTTCATCCCCTCCCTCCCTCCCTTCCTCCCTTCTTGTATATACCTTTTCTTTATATTCTTTCTTTCTCTTTTTCTCTTCTTCTTATAGTTCGAGTTCCTTCTTGCACTTACTTCCGGTTGCCAGCTGGTTCGACAGAAGTGCCGGTAGAAAAAGATCGAGGGTTGAGGGAACCCCCCCCAAACCTCACACCCCACCCCACTGCATAGAAAAGAGAAAGAAAGAGAGAGAGAGAGAGAGAGAGAGCTTAATTTTAGACGATCCAACATGCTGGCACGTGCTCCCAACGAACAAGCATTTCTTTTTTTCACTTTAACTTAGAGAACGACTTTTCTCTTTCTTTTAAACAAGTTGTTTATAATTAAATTTATTGTGTTAAATATATTTGACGTTTGAATTGTATTGTTCTTTAAATTTCTAAGACACACGGCAGATTGTTTCCGAGAATTTTCACGTAGGTAAAATACCCCAAAGAAGGTGCGTATTTTCCGTAATGGCAGGCATATGGTGGCACGCATCATTGCGGTTGCTTTCGTTGGTTCGTTGGTCGGTTGGTTGGTTGGTTGGTTGGTTGGTTCAGTCGCATCTGCTCGTCTCTAAACCACACTTTAAGATTCATAGTTTTTTACACGTTTCCTATTTTTTACATGTCGATGAAATATTGTATTAAAGGGTTAGCCTATTTTTATATTTAATAATAATAATAAATAAATAAGATTATCGATAATATTACGTCGTTCATAGTTTGAAGATCAACTTCATAGCAAGAGTACAGGAAATATCCCTGAGGATAATGGAACCATCCAGTAACGTTCATCTAATCCAACGTATATTATAGTAAACCTTGTGGCTATATTATACTGAATTGAGTAGGCGCAATGTATGTATGTATATATGTATGTATGTATGTATGTATGTATGTATGCGTGTGTCTCTTTTTGTTAATCTATCGATACCGGTTTTCGCGGTGGCCCCAAGCATTCTCGCGATTTAATCCCTTATCTGAAAACGCTTCCGAATAATCGTAAAACGAGATTATGGCTCTCGGGTATGGGATAAGAGACAGTATAAAGATGTATAATAAAAGATTTAAATTTATTTAGACATTACTACAATTTTAAAACCTTTTTTGCAATCCCTTGTTTATTTTGAATGATCCGTATAAATGATTTTTAATTGCAAAAAGAAAAAAAGAAACATTAAAGTTGATTGTTGTTAGTTAATTAATCGTAGCGATTTGAACACCTGCACTCGTCGATTTACAAAGCCATTATTAAGTACCATCGTTACTTGACTCACGCTCCTACTACTTTCAAGCCCTTCCACCACTATCGGGACCTTTGACCCTTCTTATTTCTTCTCTATCTCTTTTCATTGCTATTTTCTCTCTACGTTGGTAGAACAAAAACGTTTTCTCGTTCCTCTCTTCTCTCTCTCTCGTACACTTTCTAACGTGTGTGTGTGTGTGTGTTTGCTTGTGTGTTCGATATGTAACGATAGAAATATAATTTTTCTTTGAAATATTTTCTTGTACAATTTCTAACGAGGATATTTCTAACAACGTCGTTTGATGGTAACTTTTAATGACGATACTCTAATCATCGTTTGTTAGAACGATGAATGCTAATTGCTGCTTCGAAAATTTATTAACACGAGCTACGAGATGGTATGTCCTAGTTACTTATTTTAATTATAAATATACGTAACGATGTATGTATGAGTAATACCGTGATTTTAATTACTTTCATGTAACCATGAAATACATTTATTTTACATAACACACTCACGCAAAGTAAAATAATTATATTAGGTGTACAGGAAAGTTTTGTTCATTTTTAGAATAAAACAAAAGTATCTCTTTAATTGACTAATAATTAATTATCATTATTTTTTTTCCTAATATTTCAAAATAATAAAAAGTGTCTGTTTAAAAAAAGTAAAAATACATTCTATAATACATTACATGTGAGATTATTATTATTACTCAATGGACAACTATGTGAGGTAACATTTTGAAAAGTTACAAAGTTACCAAGTTATTTTTCGTTAAAAAAAAAAAAAACTCCAAATAATTCAACTAATTAGAAGGTAACTTTTAAGTGAAGCTAATGAAGCAAAAGAATTAACGTGTTGTTGCCATTTTCTTTTCCATTTTACTGAACAGTACGAAGAGGAATATAGAAAGTTCATAGAATTCTTGGAGAATAGAAGTGGGGTTGTTTTCTAAATCGTTCAACGAATCCACGTTTTCAATCATTTTTCTTTATGGATTCTTTCTCCATTGTTCGCATTGTTCGGTTCTCTTTCAGTTGTCAACTGACTTTTCAAATTTCCAAATGCAGCAATGGCAAAATAGTAAATAATAAATAAAATCATAAATAATGTTGACCAACCTCTGAGTGATTCTAATCGATTCTTATTAAATTCAAATAAGGATAGGAGAAAAAAAATCAATGTCCGCTTGTGTCCAAATAAAGAAAACAAGAATTATTGAGTTTGTATAATTAACTTTAGCAAAGTTGCAATGTAACTTACTTTACGGTAAGACGAGTTCTTTGACATCGTTGCATTCTATGTGACTGACTCTGTGTCTACTACGATGGCATATAGAGTAGTAGACAGTAGTTTGTAATTGCGCAAAATACGTCTACCTTTCTTGGATTACGATCGTATTACGATCATAGAATGAGATATACTCTGTAACCATATAATGCAAACATAACGGATACGTAATTACAACATACTATTACATAATATTTTATAGATACAAGTATACATATACATTTCTATATGCAACCATGCATTTAATCGTCATTTATTCCATTCAATTAAATTTCATTTCTAAATTCTAACGAAAAATGTATTCAATAATTTAGGTTGTGCACCAGTTTGATTAACCTATGTTAACTAAATCAGCTGTTTAAAGTTGTGACGCGTTTCGTGGGTAATCTAAGAGATAGAGAGAAGAATGCAGAAGAAGAAAAAAAAATAGAGAAAGAAATAGAGAAAAAACTGTAAGAACGATCCCTCGGGGGGTTAGGATTCCACACTGGAGGAAGAAGCCTCAGCTGTTTGCCGATGGAAGCCATAGAATGCTTTTTATACTACCACACCCCTTCGACTTTCATCGTATCCACCGTGAAGGAACGCAGAAAATCCCATGGTGTTTGTTCATATCATTTAGATATATATTGTTAGCATTTCAAACTTTTTTATGATCCCTCTTACTCAAATTTATTTCCATTTTTTTTTTTATTCTGTTATTAGCTCTGTTTGAGTTTTACCTTAAATCGAACAAACAAAAAGTCAAGTATTTCAAAGTTTTTGTTTTTCAAATTGGCTATTTGAAAATTAGAAAGGAGGAAGAAAAAAGAAAATATGTGTGCACATGTGTGTGGTATACACCATATATATGGGAAGTTAGGAACAACACACAACCATGCGTAGATCGTATTTCGAATACGACCCTTGAAAACTTGGCGGAACGAATACACGAACGAAATATACGAAGGAATATACGCGTGCTGTTTCTTCGCTTCGTTGAACTTGGATCTTTGCTGTTGTTGCTCGTGTTCAGGAAGAGAATCTCCTCTTCTAGCTCTTATCTTAGATCACGATGGAAAAAGGGTTACTTATTTGATTAGAAACAAAATACGAGTATATTCTTCTCCTGGATTCATGCAGAAAATACGTTCATTTTCTATTTAACAAAAACATATTATAATTATGTAAAATGAGGTCAAGATCGTAGCTTAGAATCCAAGAAGAAGGATCTTCTACTTAGAGGAATATAAAAGTGATGATCGGGTAGGATGATAACGATGATTAAATGACTACGTTAGTGGGTTCCAATGGTTGAACCAGTTAATACGGCTCTCTTTGTTTCTTATATATATTAAAGGTTTTATATTATATGCTCGAACTCGAAACGTGATCAACTCGCTTATGGTCCTCTTTTCAAGATTAACTTTATCTACCTAGCTAAGTCAGCAAAGTAACACGATAGCGGAAGTATATATATAGAAAATATATTCCGCGTGCAACTTTAATACTAAAACTTTGACACTATCATTTTTAAATATCACCCATCCCACCCAACCCCCCGTGGAAAATATTTAGAAATAAGAAAATAAAATAAAACGAGAAGAAGAAGAAAAGTAAATATATAGAACACAAGGGATTCTTTGTTACGATTTATCCCAAGGAAGGAAGCCCTAATCTTTCGTGAAACTTGCTTTCGGCACTCTACGAGATCCGTTTCCCACGGTGCGGCAGGTAACACGAAACGTTTTCCCTGTAATATTGCTCTCTCTCTCTCTCTCTCTCTTTCGTCCTTTCTCTTTTTCTCTTTCTCACTCTCGCTTTACCAGACGATACAACACCAACCATGCTATATACGTCGACACGGGGTCCATGAAATCGAAAGAGCACCTCCTCTACTACTACTTTACCCTTTTTACACAGCTAAGAGAAAGGAATTACGAGCACGAGATTCGAGTAACTCGCTCGACCGAGACGATCTTACCTTCTTTTTTTTATATTTTTTTTTATTATAATCTTTTATTTCTATGCATGTTCGTTTTACCTCGGTGCAGATCGACGATTCATTACATCGACAATTCTACAACTCGAGCGTACTTCCGTTCGTTCGTATGACGATTTAATTCGTTAAACTCCAACAAATGTGAAAAACTAAATTTGTTTGACACGAAGTACTTGGGTACTTACGAACAGGAACCTTCTTAGGGTCGACAGTTGTTAATCGTTGTTCGACCTTGTCGAGTCTTCGTCTGACTTGGGCACTCCTTTCGACAACCACAGTCAATTCCCGTGTGAGCTCGGCAAATATGTCCTCGGCTGTTGTGAGAAGCGAGGCCAGTTGTTTGAGGGAACCGGTAAGGGCACCGTTCGCCACGGCCTCCAATTCGGCACCAACCGGTAAATCTTGTGCGGCCGTACCGGATGGCACGTGACCGCGGCACAAGAAACGCGGCTCCACCTTTCGAATCACGAACGGCATGATCCTTCGACGAGGAACCTACGAAGATCAATCCTTGGTGCATACCAGATGATGATTATCCTTTTATCTCTTCTCAGACCTTCTTCATCTTATAGATCCTTTACAAATCAATGATCGATGTAACTTTTTTTTTTTTTACGTTCTAACCATTTCCATCTTTTTGTATTTCACTTCTTTCTTTTTTATTTCACTTTATTTTTTTCTATTTTTTCCTTTTATTATTTGAGCTCACTTTTCAACAAAATCAATTTTTTTTATTACAACATCACCTTTCACACGACTGACTTTTCCTTCGTTCTTTACTCGCGACGTTTAATTTCACGTTGTAAATATCGTACATTTTTTTTTTCTTTTTTTTTTAATAATTATTTCTAGGAAATAGGATTGTGAAAAGGAAAAGAAAAAGAAAAAAAAAAAAAGAAAAAGAAAGTTAGAGAGCAAAGATGAAGGAAGAAACGCACATACCGCACGACGCGACGTCGGTGCGCCAAGTGCCGGCCGGTTCTGTGCTCCTTCTTCGAATAACTCAAAACCCGCCGTCACTTGCACCGTCATTTGCGCCCTCATTTGGGCCCTTTTACAACAACGCCTCAATATGCACCAATCAAGGTAAACTTGCATCTTTGCTTATACAGTAAGGATGAGATACTGTCGATGAATTACCAATACGTTACCTTGTCGATAAGTTACTTTATTAAGGTAAGTACCCGACAAGTTGTTCCATCGATAATTCAGTGTCCGTTGTTTCCTTCTTTTGCTGGTTTTCTACGTTCTTTCATAATTAAATATAAACGTGTTTATAAAATAAATTTCTACTTCTTTCAAAAATTTATTCTTCTTGAACGTTTGTATTACTTTGACAAAAATCTTATTGTAAATTTATCTTTTTTATTACACTAATAGTAAATTTCAATGAATATTGAGAATACTTAGGTGAAATCCTAAGGAAAATTGAAAAGCTATCCGGCTTAATGAGGGGTCATCTTTTTCCCCGAAAAAGAATTCAATTACAATTCTTTTTCTTAAGCCGTACGATACTTCAAAGTGAGATTTAGAACTAGGGTGTCGTAATTAATAGTTTGTTCTTCGAAAGGATCTAAATGGGTTCGGATTTCCAAATACTTTCTTTTTCATTCTTTATTCGATCCTTCGCATGTGCAATTTTCACACGATAAACTTCATTCACTCTCGTTAACCACTATAACTCTCTCTTCTTCTTCTTTCTTTTGTACTATCTGTAGAATGAAATGAAATTATGCATTGATCAATGTAAAAATACAAAAGAAACGCAATTTATTTAACAAAGATGAAGAAATAATTAAAAATCATCGATGGCTGACGCTAGATTTCCTCTTAAACCGCGTCGGTCATCTGTGCCTGATACAAATTTCCCCTTAAACCGCGTCAGTCATCTGTACCTGATACAAATTTCCCCTTAAACCACGTCAGTCATCGGTGATTGACACTATTTTCCCCTTAAACAGCGTCAGTCATCGCTGACTGACGTTATTTTCTCCTTAAACCGCGTCAGTCATCGCTGACTGACAGTATTTTCCCCTTAAACC